TCCTCGTTTCGCCCGTTCGCTCTCCGACAATTGACGTCAAAACTTCTTCCCTTTCTTCCGCCCTCTTCTCAAGGTTTCTAATTTCAATAACAATGAAAACAGTAAGATGTCGGAAAGCGCCGAACCTATTAATCATCATATAAGTTTTATAAATATTCGGAGAGGAAAATAATTAAAATCAATCTACCGTAACTTTTCCCGACGACAATTGTTACAGCGGAAACTCTGTACAACGCATTTATATACAGCAAAAACTGTCTATAACGAAAATTTCCAAAGATCAGAAAAGTCCTTTTTTTGGCCAAAATGAATGTCAGTCGGGAAAATAATGAGCACTTTGTCGTACTGGAAATTGCATCGCCGCCAAGAAAATGAATTGTGTCGCGACAAAATCAAAGTGCTTTTCACTTCAGCGACTCGATTAACGCATTAAGATTGTGTTCATTATTTTCCCGACAGACTGATATTTTTTGGTCTTTGCGATTTTTTCTACAGAGGTTTCACGGGACAAAAAAATTCGCCGTATTTTACCTTGCGCAATTACCGCAATCGAACGGCGTTTGTCTCCGTTTTGTCGCCATTATGATCTTCTCCCGTCTGTTTTGCCCATACGGAGGGATTTGAAGAGCGGGTCACTATATAATTTTGGCGGATTAATGCGCCAATCTGTTGCTGAAAATCGACTCCCTAAGTGCGAAAGAAGGGGGGCCATATCTTCTTGGCAGGTGGTCGAAGAGGATGCGGAGAGAAGGGCAAAGATCTTCAAGTCAAGAAAGAAGACAGGGAAGTCAATGTTAAAATTTTGAAAAAATTAAAGTGACAAAAAAAATGGTAAAATACGAAGTGCACAGGTGTCAATTTTAGATTGCCAATAAAAGTCTCTCAAGATTTTCATTTTGTCGGGAAAATAATGAGCATTGTGTCGCATCGACAATCGCATCGCCGCGGAAAAATTAATTGCATCGAATTTAACTGCGTTCATTATTTTCCCGACAGACTGATATCAAGCATGTCTCTCGGTATCTTGACATCTTGGCCAGGGTCCAACGGAGAAACATGTCTTTTGTTGAAACATTAATTTCAACATTAAAAATTTGCGTTAAAACCATGATTCGCAAAGAATACCATATTCTTGCCGGCGTTTGTCCTAAAAATACCGGTCGTCGAAATCTCGCATATTTTTTTGCTGAAAATTAATTTTAGCTTGTGCCAAGTTTCATCGAAATCTGAGCGTCGCACTTGAAGTTCTTCACCTCTAAATATAGTTTTTTAATTATGCTCAATATAATCTTGCCGGAAGCAAGAAGTTAAAGAGACATAAAGTGTGAATATTTGAATTTTCAATGATGTTGATAGCATCTTTTTTAATTAAAAATTTCTGTATAAAAAGCAAGTTTATTGACTTCAAGGCCAATCCAACATGAAACTATTGTTTGTCATCTTCCTGCTCTTGGCTGTTGTCGCCGCTACAACCAAGAAGCCATCGTCTTCTACAACCAAGCCTCCTTACTCCTGCCAGAGTGACGCGGATTGTGCTAACATGAAGTGCCCCAGAGGAGACATATCAAAATGCTCTGGAAATGCGGTTAAATATTGCACTTGCAAATTTTAATTACGTCGAAGGTAATTTTGCCCGAAGAACGATGCCGAAGGGATATAAAGTTTGAATACTTCCAATTTCAGCATTTTTTTTGAATAAAAATTATCGTATAAGAAAACAGATCTATTGTCATCGAAGCAAACAAATTTAAACTGACATAGATTTTCAACGCATGTATCCTGGCATGTTTGACAGTTAAAAGCAGCTATTTTAAAGACCTCGCCGCAACCCAGCTACTATCAATCTGTCGGAAAAATAATGAGTATGCCGCGCTAATCGAGTTGCTGAATTGAAAAGCAATTCGATTTTTCACTTTCTCGTTGGCAATGCAATTTTCGATGTAACAGAGTGCGCATTATTTTCCCTACAGACAGATAGTGGGTATATTTTTTATTGATTAAAGGCCAAAAAATAAGGGCTGGTTACAAATGATGAGCCGAATGTTTCAACAAAAAAATCTATTTTTCACAGCGAAATTCGGAAGGTTAGGACCGAAGTCCGTTTGCAAGGTCGCTGGAATGATTTTCGCGACACCGAAAGCAAAAGATTTTTTGCACCGTGCGATAGGTTTTTTAAGGTTGTCGCTCGTACCCTGTCTTGTTCCGCACAGTTCAAACGGTAAAAAGTTGCTACAGTGGTTTTGCGAAGGAGGTAGTATCCTATAGACCTATTTTAGATTCCCACCTGGCGCTTTGCAAAAAACAACCGACATTTTTAATCAAAATTTTCAGAAATCAGGGGCCTGTTTCATCAACGAAAAATAAATAAAATAAACAAAAGAGAAAGCGAGAGAACACCCAAAACACGTTTCGAAGCGAGAGAGTCGCGACGGATTAGTAGAGCCGATCTATAGACCGGCGAATTTATCAGAGCGATCGGAGTGACCTTTTACGTCCAAAACGGGGGGTTCTCTACAGTAATCAGTGGATAACTCGGCTCCCGGTGGTCGTAGAATCACCCTTCCAAAAACCAAATAAAGCTATTCCCTAGTGCTACGTGATATCCAAATTTCATATTTATACTTCAAAAAATGAACTCAATAGACACCTAGTAGATCGTGGTATTCAACTTTTTTGACGTTTTTTTTTCTGAAAAATTTTATTTTTTCAGTCAATTTTTAACATAATGGGATAAAATTGGTATCAGTCGATAGCCAAACCTTTACTCTACAAAACTTTTTTAGAGGGGCGGTTTACTTCAAAAAAATGAACGCAGTAGACACCTAGTAGATCACAGTATTTACGTTTTTTTACGTTTTTTCGGGAAACCCCTTTGTTTTTCAGTCAATCTTTAACATAATGGGATAAAATTGGTACCAGTCGATAGCCAAGTGTCTAATCTACAAAATGTTTTTGGAAGGGTGGCTTACTTCAAAAAATGAACTCAGTAGATACCTAGTAGATCGCAGTACTGCCATGAACCACCGTTTTTGACACAAAAAACCACCCCGTTTCGAGGGCGCTTTTTCTCTTTTGTTTTTTTTTCGGAAACGATCAAAGGACTTTTTACGCAAAAGGAAGACATCGTCTCACTAAATTGAACGTTTCGCAGGCCACAGGGCAAAGGATGCCGCCCCTCTAAAAAAGTTTTATAGATTAGACGTTGGGCTATCGACTGGTACCAATTTTATCCCATTATGTTAAAGATTGACTGAAAAACAAAGGGTTCTCCCTAAAAAACGTAAAAAAAGCGTAAATACTGTGATCTACTAGGTGTCTACCGAGTTCATTTTTTGAAGTAAACCGCCCCTCTAAAAAAGTTTTGTAGAGTAAACGTTTGGCTATCGACTGGTACCAATTTTATCCCATTATGTTAAAAATTGACTGAAAAAATAACATTTTTCAGAAAAAAACGTCAAAAAAGTTGAATACCACGATCTACTAGGTGTCTATTGAGTTCATTTTTTGAAGTATAAATATGAAATTTGGATATCACGTAGCACTAGGGAATAGCTTTATTTGGTTTTTGGAAGGGTGATTCTACGACCACCGGGAGCCGAGTTATCCACTGATTACTGCTGAGAACCCCCCGTTTTGGACGTAAAAAGTCACTCCGATCGCTGTGATAAATGCGCCGCTCTATAGATGGTCTCTACTAATCTGTCGCGACTCTCTCGCTTCGAAACGTGTTTTGGGTGTTCTCTCGCTTTCCCTTTCGTTTATTTTATTTATTTTTCGTTGATGAAACAGGCCCCAGGCCCTTTTTACAAAAATAAAAATGTTACACAATCATTACCAAGCAATTCGTTTATCCATAAACACTACAAAACGTTAAATTTTTGACGTTTGAAGCATACAAAACGGGCCGAAATCAGTTTGGAGGCGGGTCCACACAGAGGCATACGTTGCTATTCGGAAGTTGGCGACACACCGGAATGAATGGGTACATACATGGGACGTCATAGCAATCACTGTCGTCCTGACATTCCTTTCCTTGCACAACAATGGTGGCGACAACCACAAGCAATAAGAGGAAGACAAAGAGTTTCATCGTGAATTCGCTGCTCCACAACGGGCGCTTCTGTCGGAGTTAATCGAAACGAATGAGGTTCAAATAGCGCTGGCTAACATTTGATTAAAATTTAATTGCTTTCAGAAAGGTGGATGTAAATCTAAATTGATTTTTTGATTAGGAAATTTAAAAAATTTACATTAGAGGGTCCGAGTGAGACTTTGATGAAATTTGAAATCAATACGGGCTACAGGAGCCTTAGAGTTTGTCAAGTTGCATATAGATCCTGCATTATATACAGACAATAGCAGTCTCTCCAGAAAATCACTCTGGCGACTTTACGAACGAACTAGCAATGTTGCGAATGTCGCATTCAACTTACAAGGGAAGAACCAATGTGCGACGCTCAGATTGTGACGAAACTTGGTACAAATTTAGAATATTTTCATCTAAAATGTGTGCGAAATTCTAGCGTGCGTTTTGCAGAAAGAACCGGGATTTGTAGATCGAAACTCGACCAAAATTTGAGACTTTTTGTCGAATTTCGGCACGCAGAGTTTCATGCCTATTTCTACCATAGAGTGTAATGTTTTCACAAAAACTCAATTTTTTCCGCACGAAAATAGCAAAGTTATGGCAAAAAGTGTTTTTTTTCTGACCGCTCTCCGCGTTTAGCGTACTCTCTCGGCGGCAAAGATTGTTCTATATTTCGGTGGCGCTAGCAAAGTGCGAGCTAAAACTTCGAGGAATTGATGTTTAGTTCATGCCCGACGTGTGTGCAAAATTTAAAGAAAATCTGAGCATCGCACTTGGGGCACTTTCCCCTCAGTTTGAAGGTGCTCCTTAGATGATGTCATTGAAATACCATATAATATTTATATATTTATAAATTGTGTATATCCGAGAGCCAAAAAAGCAACAAAATATTTATTCAAATTTCAAACACACATCACAATGCGGGCGTTGAGGACAGCTTATGCAGTAAGGTGCAAAATCCTCCTTCCATTGTGTATCTGCATCCAGCGTAAAATCCCGGAGGCACTGACACATTGGCGCAGTCAGCATCGGTCTTGCAAGGTTGGCCGATCTTGCCAGAGTCGCCAGCAACAAGCAAAGCGGCGAAAAGAAGGAAGATAACAATAAATCTCATTGTCAGTTGGTTAGAAGCGTGGTGAGAGTAGGCCTTTTTAAAGGCCGATTTTTTAATTAAAGAAAATTTATTGTTGTCTAATAAACTAAAAATTCAAATGCTGCATTAACATTTCATGATATTATAGTTTGAATAACTATTAATAGATGACCAGCTCCGCCTATTTTTTTGTAGTTTTTGTCTGCTTGATTTATGTACATAATTTACAACGATAGTTCTCGATATCCAACACTCACGATTAGCTATTTTTTTCACAAGGAAAGTACTTCTATAGGGTATGGAGTTACAAGTCGAGACGTATATCAAAAAATCGCAAAATGTTTCTGGTTCAGAATATGTAAAAATAAGCTGCCCAATTTTGGTTTATAAGGGCGAAAAAATGGACTTTTCTCGCAACACCACGCAAATGCTCATTTTTTACATTTTGCATTATTTTCCTTGTTAGCAAAATCTGTCTTACACAATCTTATCCGCTCTACTTTTGCAGGAGTCCCTTAGATGACGCCTTTAAAGCACATGTATACCCATATCCGAGATGCAGCAAAGCAGTAAAATATTTATTCAAATATCAAACGCAAATCACAATGTGGTCGTTGTGAACTGGTCATGCATCAAAACGCAACGCCATCCTTTACATTCATACCACAGCCCCGCAGGGAGCTTTTTATTGGCGCAGTCAGCATCGCTCTTGCAGTGTTGCCCAACCCAGCCAGGGTTACCAGCGACAAGCAAGGCGGCAAAAAGAAGGAAGATAACAACAAATCTCATTGTCAATTGGTTAGAAGCGTGGTGAGAGGAGGCCTTTTTAAAGGTCGATTTTTAATTAAAGATAGTTGGATTTGTCTAATGAAATAAAAATGCAAATTGAAACTTCGTTATGTTAGTTTGAATAAGTAGATAGATGGCCAGGACTGCCTGTTTTTCGAAGTTTTTTGGCTGCTTGATTTACATAATTTAGAATGAAAGCTCTCAAAGTTCAACAAAAATGACACAAGAAATCTAGATTGGTTTGTTCAAGAGGGAGTACTACAGTGACGGACTTGATCCAGCAGAAAAAAATCTACCATTTTGCATTCGGGAAGTATCAAAAATGTGGCAAAATACCTCCCTCTTCAGTTTTGAAAGGCGCGCCCTTTCCCTCACAAAAAAAGAACGCTTTTGAAATCGGATTTTTTTCAATTGGAGAGGAAAATCTACAAAGAATTGCCTTTTTTTAGAGGTTTATGCCATTTCTCATCAAGATCAAAGCGTTGACACTTTGACCACTTTTTTACATAGCGATTCATGGAAGAGCATTTTTTAATTTCGTTCTCAAACATATTAGGTTGTCCAACAAATAATGACCCTCTTCGAGAGGGGCAAAGTCAAAAGTCTCTAAACAAGGCAAGCGATGATGGAATTTCGAAATATTATACCATTTTGTAGCTGAGACCTCGGGCTTTCGTTTGATATATCGTTTGCCGTATTTGGACCAAATTACAGTAATTTAGCGCTAATCAAAAATTATCAAAGAAAGGTCGGTTCGCACTATCATCTTGTACGGGCAAAAACAGGATGCGAAAGTTTCAGAAGCTACGTAATGTATCAACGTTGTGTTCGGCTAGTGTGTTCTGAGTCTGAATATGGTGAAACGGTGGTTTAAAAATTTCCGATCTGACGACGAGGGACCCAAAGATAAAGTACGGCATCCAGACTTTATGAATTTACCCTGAGGTCATTGGTTGACGCCCATCCTAGAATCAACATCCGACGCATCTCTGACATCGCCTGGGTGTTGAAATAATCGGGAGCTAACTTTTCGACGTTGATTAAATTCAGCAAAATGCTGGGCAACTTGTTCCCACATTATTGGATCAAAGCAAAGAATGGAGGCGCCACATTTCTCGTTTTTGCGTGCCGGAAAACAATTTTCCTGGATCATATCGTGGCCTATGATGAAAAACGGGTCTACTACGACAATCAGACGAGACACGCCTAATGGAGTTCTCCCCGAGCGTCACCGTGGCACTTGTCAAAGCCCGACTCCCCCCAAAACAAGGTGATGACTACTTCTTGATGGTGCAGCATGGGAATAGTAAAATATAGCTTCTTGAAAGCTGGCCAAAATGTAAATACCATCCCCTACTGTATCCAGATAGACAGTTTGTGGCAGCATCTGCCTTCAACGATGCGCCGCAGAAGTCCAAAAATTCATAGCAGCAACAGGAACCTCACCGTTGAAAAATGACCCTCCAAAAGCCGATTTAATAGAGATACAAGACTGTCCCTCGTCCAGCGTATTTGTCAAAACTGGACTGTACATACGACCACCTGTTCAAGAATCTAGCACGTTTCATCAGTGGTAGGGAATTCGACAATCGAGACGCCCTTGAAAAGGCCTTCAAAAGTTTCGTCGGCTCCAGAAGCCGGAGTTTCTAAGCTACAGACATAAAAAGTTTTTTGGCACGTTGTAAAAAGCGTGTTAAACCAAATGATAACTATTTTGATTACATAGATCGCTGTTATTACGGTAAATTTTGCCAAAAAAGTAAATTTTTCAAGGAGGGTCATTATTTGTTGGACAACCTAATACATACATGCAAAATTTTCTAATCTTCACAGCATCTCTTATTTGCACAAAGGCACTGGTTGAAGGGAGGAATCATGCATATGGGCCGGCCGTTGGGATCACACACAAGTTTTTCTTCGCAATCCTTCTGAGTCTCGCACGGAGGTGGATGTATAATACTTGCGCAGACACATTGACCACAAAGGCCAGAAGGAAGAAAATAACAAGAAATTTCATAATGAAGGTCAACAGTTATTTTAGAAAGCTCTGAAGTTTTGAACTGCAGAGTTTACTACAAAACCCATCGAAATACGGATGAATGTTAATGCTCCTGGCTCTTTATTCGTGAAATTTGACATATTTTTGATTGCAAGTTCAAAATTGAGGAAGTTACTCATAAGGCAGAACGTTGACAACCCATGATGATCTGAATATGACTCTGTGACGCTCTTTGTTGTATTATATCAAAAAATTCGGGAGCAAAGAAAATCGGGAAAAAATCTTCGAAAAAACTTTTTATTCAAGGTAGATATTCATAATCAACTTAGAATCTTGACTCAACACGATTGGCTGATCTCAGTTTTTCGGCGGGTCTCCAACGCAACGGCATTTCCCGCTGATAGTTGAGCAATAGGGGCATGAATATTTCCTGCATGTGAACTTTTCACAGTCCTTGTTGCTTTTGCAGTATACTTGGACTGCCTCGATCGCGGTGACAACAGAAATTAAGAGTAGAAAAATAATCAAAATTCTCATTTTCGATTGATTGAAAAAACCGTCGGGACAAGGCTTTTAAATAGTAAATATTTTTAATCGTTCAGTTTAATGACACCGCTGGAATTTTCATTTATAAAGGTTACAAGAGCGCTTGGGAACTAAAAAATTTTTGTTCGTTCTGACCTTTATTAAAGTCAAACTTTTGACTTATGATCATGACAAGCAACCAACAGACAAAAACAATGAGCAACTTCATGCTGGAATTTGGACGAAAGGGGCCGCCGCATGCAGCGGTTTTATAGGCCTGATTTCAATAAAAAACATGGCTGAGAGGCTTTTAATAACGAATAATTCTATCTTTGTGGGAAAAAATCTCCCATTTTGTTTAATGCCAAATACGATATACCTTTTTGGTTGCCGCAACGACCCGCCACGATTGTTCCGACAGACTGATACTCTTATTCGCATCCGAATTGGAAATTCTCGACGTAGCTATGTCCAATGCAAAATTAGGGTAGTTGAATCACTCTCTAGAGAAAAGAGTGATTCAACTAAAACGAACCTAGCTCTCCGATAAAAGATGATCTTTTTGTCGCTTACAACTCGTTCGTTGTAAGCGACAAAAAGTCGTATCAAAGACGCATCGCCGCCGAGAAAATGAAGTGTGTCGAGGCAAAATCAAACGGCTTTTCACTTCAGCGACGCTATCGGCGCAGCGACAATGTGCTCATCATTTTCCCGACAGTCATATAAATTCTGACATATAAATATTTCTCCAATACAAAGAAGACTTTATAAGTTACCACGACGTTTATTGTGACTTCAAGAAAAATATCAGACAATCAACGTATGTCCTTCACGCATTTACAGTAGCCATCCTCTCTTTGACGGATACATGAGGGCTTCTTCCCATCCCAGCACCACATGTAATCGCAGTCCTTGTTTAATACACACCTTCTGTTAAGGAAAGCTTGAGAAACAGCAGCCAACAGGAGGAGGATAATGAACAATCTCATGATGAAATATAGCGAATGAATAGACATAAATACAGTGCTAGAAGCGACTGTATTTATATGCGATTTTTTTTAATACAGGAACGCTGAAGAATGCGTTTTTGAATGGTCGTTAGTGAGAGAATTTACACTTTTATGATCTTGGGATATTCAAAGAAGGCTCATTACACAGTTCAATGTAATTTTTTTATGGATTAGCGGGATTGTAGGGACTTTAGGTCGGGAAATTTAATTCGGCCCGACTGGGTTTCATGCCTGATATAATAGGTGTTCTCCCGGTATCCCTGATCACCGAAAGCACCTCAACAAATACCAACCAGGTCCTCTTGACCCTCTTCAAGCAATCCCAAACCAAGTATTTTTATCAACAAGACTTCCGAACTCCACAACCACCACAATACACAAAACTTTAACCACTCAATTACAAGTTGTCATAAGGATCACCGCATCGACAATATTTATCATAAACACATTCAGCGTATACGTTGTCGGGGCAATCCATGTAATCACAGTCCGTGTCCAGATCGCACCCATGTGTCGAAGATGCAAAAGCGATCAACGAGAGGAAGATAACGAACAATCTCATGGCGAAGAGTGATTGAAAGGCAGGAATCGAAGAATGTGGCTGACGGAGTGACGATAGGCCCGGTGAGGCAATCACACGACAAGACTAGAAGCTTGAATTCAACTGATTTAATGAGTGAAAAGCGGCCTTATTATGTATACTCCATCTTTTAGTAAATTCTTTTGACAATCTGAAGGCGTCAAAGACAAAAAACTTTAAATTTTGATTGTCTTGTTTGTAAATGAAAGTGGTTAAAATTTTGACGGTATTCATGAGGCAATTCGAAATTCAATCTCAAAGATGATAGTTGTAGGCACTCTGGTTGTTGTCAGGATATCCATGTAGGCCTAAAGCGGCACTAGGGCATGTTCCAAATCGTCCGTTGTAGGCAGCCTTTGTTTTATCGGTCTGTCGGATCGCACATTATCGCCCTCGCAGAACGATGATGTGCGATTCCCTGACCCGGCGTTATTTTCCCGACAGACTGATGTATTGCAGAAACATTCCATATTCCAACAACATCCAATTCGGCTTGGGAAATTAGGTTCTAAACAAATTGCAGTACTGAAATTGGACATCAATTCAAAAAATCCGTTTATTCAACACTCAAAAGATTGTCCATTATGCATCATTATGTCAGGATTTAGGAGCATTGGCAAAATTTTTGTACACATATTGGATTGCTAGGAGGCATACAGCGCAACTCAAAGCAATCACCGTTGGTTCTACAAGGTATTCTGTACGGCTTTCTTGTTACTTTGGCTGTGGCAACAACAGCCAGGAGGAGAAAGACAATGAAAAATCTCATGATGAAATGGCGATCGAAGAACGCTGTTGAACACAAGGTCTTTTCAGAGGGGCTTTTATACTCCATTTTTTAATAAAAAATATTTACAACCACATGATTAAGGAATGAAAAATGAAAAAATTAGAATTTTTATTGCCTTGTGATATGTTAATGTAAGTGGTTTTATTTTCACACGTTAAGTTTGTCTCTTAAAATGCAATCTCAAAGATATTATGTATAGTTGTGGGTAGAACACACCCTCTGCTTTTTGTAAGACCACTTATTCAGGGTAAATTTGCCTTTATGGTATCTCTAAATAGTTCGCTGTACCCTGGTCCGTTTGATATCACATTGAAAATTCCAATAAATTTTTGTTAGATCATAAAAATGTAAATTTTCTGACTATCAGCCAGTCGAGCAAGCGGTTTTCATCGTACCTTTATTAAAAAAATGGCATACATATATAGCCGCTTTCCAGCATGTCTATGTATTCGATATCTCATCATGAGATTGTTCATTCTCTTCCTGCTGTTCGTTGCTGCTTCTCAAGCTTCCGTAATCCCAGAGTGCATGAACGACGAGGACTGCGCTCACATGCAATGCAAGGTTGGAGAGAGACCCGCATGTGTTGCCAGAATTCCTATGGGCCACTGTAGATGCGTGCCGGCCGGCAAATAACGATTGCCTGATTTTGTTCTTGAATACACAATAAACGCCATGGTAACTCATGAAGTCGTTGTAAGCAGAGAGTGCCACGGCTCCGGAGCCGGCCCTTGGCTCCGGCTCTGAGCGGTTCTGGCTCCGAGCCGGGAGCCAGAGCCGGAGCCGGAAATTTTGGGGTCGGCTCCGGCTCCCGAGCCCGAAGTCGGGGCCAGGCTTCCCAGCGGTCAGAAAAGTAAAAATTTTGTGATCTTGTTAAACCAAATTGCATGAAAAACACTGCGGAGGATGTGGCTTGACTGCAAAGACGTTGCTTTTCTATTCCGCGCAGTGATTGGCGCGGCGACATCTTGCTCATTATTTTCCCGACAGAATAGGGAAAAATACCGGTAAATACCAGTGATTTATTTACTTGTATTACTTTTGGGTTTTATTTCTTGTGCCGGATAATTAAATAGTAATATTTGAATCCTTTTCGGGAGTGTTTGTTTGGGCATAATCAGGTCTTTGGCCGAGCTTTTTACCTCTAGAACGTAGACGGAGTTCTAGTACAGACCGATATAACAAATTTTGCCGAAAGGCCCAGTAAAATTACAGGATTTCCTCAAAAGTTGGGTCCTTTGATTGGGTGGATCATTCAAATCTAATCCAAAAGCTAAGGACGCGACAAGTCGTTACGGCCTGCCAGAAGCCGAGTACATATTCGGAAATTCACAGGAAACCTACTTCAAGAAACAAAGACGGTTTTCGTAGAGCCGGTTTTGTTTCTGCAAAGCGCAATATTCCGATGCCGCATATTAAGTCGCGACATAAAGTCCGTAGATTTTTTTCGCCGACGTCGCGGGTACAATCGCCGAAAAGTGCATGTCGCTAGTGCAAGTCGCAGCAAGTTGCCGCGCATCAAAATCCAGCCGCCGCTAGCCATCGCAGAGCGATGATGTGCGATTCCCTGACCCGGCGTTATTTTCCCGACCGACTGATATATTGCAGAAACATCCTATATCCCAACAACATCCCATTCGGCTTGGGAAATTAGGTTCTAAACAAATTACAGTACAGAAATTGGGCATCAATTCTAAAAATCCGTTTATTCAACACTCGAAAGATTGTCCATTATGCATCATTATGTCAGCTAGGAGATGCCTGGAACACATTGGCAAGATTTGTGTTGGAGACAAGGTCTTGATACAGGGCTTTTATACTCCATTTTTTAATAAGAATATTGACAACCGCGTAAATTTGCTTGATGGTATCTCTAAATAGTGCGCTGTAAACTGGTCCGTTTGATATCACATTGAACATTCCAATAAATTTTTGTTAGATCATAAAAATGTAAATTCTCTCACTAACAGCCCGTCAAACATGCGGTTTTTATCGTACCTTTATTAAAAAATCGCATATATATAGCCGCTTTCCAGCATGTCTACGCATTCGTTATATTTCATCATGAGATTGTTCATTATCTTCCTCCTGTTCGTTGCTGTTTCTCAAGCGTACGAAGCAGAGTGCAAAACGGACGAGGACTGCGCTAAAATAGAATGCGGGGTTGGATGGAGACCCGTATGTATTCCCAGATTTCCCAATGGCTTCTGTAGATGCGTGCCGGTCGGCAGAGGATGATTGTCTGATTTTGTTTTTGAATACACAATAAACGTCATGGTAACTCATGAAGTCGTTGTAAGCAAATTTTTTTATTGTCGTGAGAATCTATCGTTTATCCGGAAGATTTGCAGCAATCTTTGATGCATATTTCAGGCTCCTGTTGCGGTTATTGTTCAAAAAAAATCAACAAACGAAGCAGATTTATAAAATAAAGTGAAGTCTCTGTACAGCAAGTTTCCGCACAACAAAACATATATGGAACAATTCCAGAGGTCCTATCAGTCTGTCGGGAAAATAACGGCGGATTGTCGCAGCAAAAAATCTCTCGCCTCGCCGCTATCGCGCACCAAATCCCAAGCCGCGGCTTGCAGTCGCAAAGCGATGATGGGCGATTCCAAAGCGCGACGACCCGCCGTTATTTTCCCGACAGGCTGATATATACAGTGGCGGACCTGATCCAGTGGCAAAAAACGTACCATTTTGCATCCGGGAAGTATCAAAAAATGCAGCAAATTACCTCCCTCTCCAACAGAAAAAACTCCTTTTTGAAGAGCGCATCCTTTCCATCACAAAAAGAGCGGGCCACTGTTTTCCCGATGGACTGATACTTCCATGGTAATATGTACATATCTTCCACCCCAAAGAACAATAAAATAACAAACGCAGAAAAGTAGCAATGGATTTATTTAACTGCTCAATTACCAATTAAATTAATGCTTGGATTGATCCGCAGGAACGCAAACACAATAGGTTTCCACAATACATTTGGGTATTTGTCCGGGAGGGCATTGCTTGTGAGTGCACTCCGTGTCGTCATAGCAATCATCCGGCTGTTTGGCAGATGAAACAGCGACCAAAAAGAGGAAGACAACGAAAAATCTCATGGTAAAGTAGTGACCGTGAAATGTGTGGGACATAGGGGCTTTTATACTCCATTTTTTGATAATTTTTTTGACAGCCTGGAGGAGTTAAAGACAAAAAAAAATAAAATGTTAATTGCCTTGTGGTGTACATTTAAATGAAAGTGGTTGGATTTTTGACGGTATTCATGAGGCGATTAGAAATGCAATCTCAAAGATGATAGTTGTAGGCACTCTGGTTGTTGTATGGATATCCATGTAGGCCTAAAGCGGCGCTACGGCATGTTCCAAATCATAAGTTATAAGCCGTTTTTGTTTTATCGCTTTGTCGGGGAAATAATGAGCACTCTGTCACACCGCAAATCGCATTGCCGCCAGAAAAAGTACAACAAACTGGGTACAGCCAAAAACTTTTTCTGTGTGACCACTCTCGCACCCTCTTCTTCGCAAAGATCGTTGAATATCGTGACCCTCCTTGAAGGGCGCGACGTTAAAGTTTTAGGAATTGATGTGTGGTCTATAGTGAGGCACCGGATCCATCCCGCCTTGGAGGAAAGGGCGCGCTTTTCAAAGCGGAGTTTTTTAGCTTACAATTAGAGAAGGAAGGGGTTTGGAGACATTTTGGTCCTTTCCGGGATGCAAAATGAGACGTTTTTTGCCATTGGATCAGGTCCCTCACTGTACGTCATCCCATGTGCAAATCTTAAATAAAATCTGAGTGTCGCACAAGGGCAATTTTGCCGACCTTGTTGTCGCGGATTTATCGAGAACCATCTGTTTTATCTGGCCTTGGCTTTTCTGGATTTTAAACCAAATGGTACCTAGCCATGCTGTAATTTTTTAACCATTTTTTAGTAAAAAATCACACGGTTTTTTTTGAAAAAGCGAGCTTACAACACCTATATATACATATGTAAAAAGGAATGTTTATTCACAAAAAAAAACAAACTGTTACAACTGAGGCGGAAGGCACTCACAGATGTGGACAGTTCTATTGCAAATCAGTCTGTTCGGATACGGACACAAGGGTTTGTCATCAGTGCAATCGTAGCAAGACTTGCAAGTCCTATTGGTAAACTGGGCGACGAATAGGGTAGCTGAGAAGAGAACCAGAACGAAGACAATAAAGAACTGCATGACGAATTTTTAACAGAGAAAAATAATTTTGAGGCTTTTAAATCAAGGTTTGAAAAATGCAAAACACATCACTATAGGCCGCCCATTTAATAGGATAGAATTTTAAAAAACGAGAGCACATTTACATGCTGCAATCAGTTTGTAGGGAAAATCAACCGGTTTACGAACGATTTTAGGTGGTGGAAGTCCGTTTTGTCTATGTTACAGTGGTTCTAAATGCCGAAATTCTGGACTCACTTTGACGTACATGCCCGAAAAATTAAGTATTCTCAATTTCGCCCATTTCTGATCAGTAGTTATGTTGTAATAGTCGATTACTGCAAAAACATTAAATTGTGAATTACAGTAGGTTTATGTGAGAGATAGACAAAAATATATTAATATATATTTTTTAGATTTCCCTATTTGCAAATCTAACCAAAGCAATTTTAAATACAAAAACAAAAATTTTTTATTCTTTTATAAATTATTTATTAAACAAAATTTTCCAACAATTCATATTATAACATATTATTAAAAACAAACAAAAATTAAAATTAATGAATAAAATCGCACTTTTTCCCTAATGGGCAGTAATTTTTCAACATGAAGTTTACGCATGGCCTTGTTTTGTAGTTTTTCGGCAGTTCTGGGACTCTCAGTTCTTCTTCTCCATGCGCATATTTGCAGTCGTCTCCATCTCGACACTCTCCAGCCATAAAGTGCTTACAAAGCACTGTTTTGAATCTCCGGGGCAGCTTGTTTTCCTCAGGCATTTTGGATTTGCCCTCAGGGCAAGGGACACTTTGGCCATTCTGCTGGAGCCTCTGACGGTACTGGAGCTCCTTGAGGCCTTTTTTGTGGACGGATTCGAAGATTGGCAACCGTGTTGCCGCTGGAGGCGCTTCCCGGAAGCGATATTGCACTAGGCCGGGAGATGAGCCAATATCACTGTCCGAAGAGTAGCCAGAAGATGAATCCTGGCTGAGGCATGGAGACCAGGATGTTGAGGGAGATCCCTGCCGGCTTGTACTTTCCAATTGAGCAGAAAAATCACCATTTCTCCGACTTGTGTGGCCATGATTGCCCTGAGGCAAGAACTCCACTGGTCGCGGCGGAAGGACAGCAGGGGGCTGGTAAAAGATAGGAAGGGCCAGCTGGACTCCATAAACCATTGATGGAGCCCCGTAGACGCCTTGTAGCGGCTGGAAAACGGGCTGGACTGGGTAGACTGGCTGGGCCATGTGCGACACGTTGCATCCATTGAAAGAGGTAGATGGGAACATTTTTAAATAGCGAGGTGAGCTGGAAGAAAAAGAGATGTAATTCTAAAGCCCATAAATACAGTAAAAACGATTGTGCCGTGGTAAAGTACGAATGACAAATAAAAAATTTTTTCCTTATAAAACGGAGTTATACAAATATTTGGATAGTAAAATAGCTGCAAATCCCAATTTATGGTTAAAAAGACCGATGATTTTATGCCTAGCAAAAAAACTTAATTTTGAGTTATAAAATATGGTAAAAACCATCAAAAGCCTAAAATTTTATATCTCAAACATAATGTGTCCTAGACGAACTGTCAAGCTCAATTCCCCTCACCCACGTGTTCCAAATCCACTGAAACACCATACTGATTTCCATTTTGCTTGTCTGCTTTTATATTCACTTGTTTTGCTTGATTTTGTTATGTAATTTCTTGATTTTTCATTTTTCTCTGCCTGCACATGCGCTTGAATTTACTGTTGTTTGATAAATTTTCTGCCAGAGGTTTTAACGATTTTCTGTGATTACGTAACTAAAAAAATCAAACGGAAAATTCTAATTTTTGTATGTAAATGTTATGACGTAGATGACGTATTGGTTGAGGCAGAAAATCCGTCATTTTTTGATAGAGTTTTCACCAAAAAAATATAGATCTAACTTTATTTTTGACGAAACGTTTGAGAAGCTAAAAAATATGCGGATATCGATAAAAAGCCGAGAGTTTCTGCAGACCGCGATGTAAAGCCCCAAAATTCGGTTTTATAATAGGCCAAGTGGACTTCGTATAACGGACCCTTCTGTAAGGAACTACTGTTTTGCGCTTGCGATTTGTTGAGCAGAAGTTTCTTTGTTGAAAAAAATTTTGAAATAAAATTTTCTTTATTGTGGCGATGAAAGCCACCAAAAAATAATGAAATAAAAATTTATTTTCCAACAACACCAATCGATAAAATCCTTACAAACATGTACATATTATTCGTCCAATAATATTCATAGGCAAACACATGAATTTTTAATCAAAAATCTTGTTTGTTTCTGCAGAACGCGAGCTCAAAATGTCAGATATGTCTTATTAACGTTTCGCCTAAACTTGTGCCGTTGCGTTCCACTTGGCGACAATCCTTATTGCCGTGGCAAGGTATATATGGAAGTGACAGCTTTGTTATTATATTTTATCTCCATGTATAAACGTTAGAACAGCGAGAGAGTTACTCAACAATCGGAATTACTTCTGTCTTGGCACACACTGGCAATACGATCGCCTTCCTTGGATACAGTACGGCATCCAAGCTTTGCAATCCATTTGGCGACGACAATCTGCACCGGTCTTGCAACGTATGAAAGGTATCTCTGTTACGGAGGCCACAGCTGCCAGGAAGCAAAGTAACACGACAAAGAACTTCATATTCGATGTGTTGAGGAAGGTGTTGAAGGGGTGGTTTTTAAACAAAGATTTTTTTATTAAAAAGACGTTCGAACTGTATGTTAAGAGCGTTGAAAAAGCAAATTTAAATTTTATGGCGTCGCGTGTGAAATTGAAATTCGGAATGTTAACTTAAGGACATTAACGTAGGAAATTAATATGACAGAATAGGCATATGAGGTGATTGTAAGATACGGCCAAAAGAATGCTTTTTTTTCTCTGCCCGCTCTCCGCGTTTCACTTGCTCTCTCGGCAGCACAGATCGTTGAATATTTCGGTTGGGCCTGCAAAGCGCGAGCTTAAAACCTTAAGGATTTAGTATGTGGGCAGTGATGTATTTATCTGCTAATTTTAAAGATGATATTACTTTTCACAGTCGTACTAATCTTGCAGCTGAAAAATGTCTTTTGCTAACAAAGTTGATCTGCTCTATCCACCTGTACTAGTCATTTTTCCGAACGCTGGGGGACGTTCAGACGAATCCCTTGTCAGGGCTTTTTTCGGCTCGTCGCAGCTGTCGTAGAACGGAGGACGGGCGATTCCGAGGCGCGCGGGCCACTTGCGGAGCAACCACTTTGCGGTCAGCTTGTGAAACCACGGAGATGACAATTAGTTGTTGCGGATTTGAAAGCAGTGAATGAATTTAATAGATTTATCAGTCTGTCGGGAAAATAACGGCGGATCGTCGCAGCAAAATGTCTCGCCCCGCCGCTATCGCGCGCCAAATCCCAAGCCGCTGCTTGCAGTCGCAAAACGATGATGGGCGATTCCGAGGCGCGACGATCCGCCTTTATTTTTCCGACAGACTGATATGTATCTATCAGTCTATCAGTACCAAAGAGTTGTCAAGGTAAAATTTCTATCGTACTACGTAGATTACGGGAGGGAAATCGTAATTCTTATCAAAAAAGTCGGCTTCCCGCAAATGTCGCGACGCCGATTCCGAGATGCGACGACCCCAAATTACACATCTTTCTGACCGACTGATATGCTCGAATACAGACTGTGCGGAGAAACACATGTCGAAGCTCGCAGTCTGTTGAGAAAATTGAAGAACAAGAAAAACTTCCCACAAAAATGTTCAAGATTTATTTTTTCTCCATTTTTAAGTTTAACCTGTATGAAAGTTAAGCACAAAGTAAAACTACTTTATCGGAGCTAATTAAATCCAAACAACTGGTTGTCGCAAAATATACATAGATTTATACTGTCATTAAATTACTCGTTAAATTACTTTGGCATGGATTCATTCATTCGCAGACGCAATACGTTTTCGAGCTTCCACTATGCGTAGGCACACAGTGCGCCGGCCTGCCCCCCGCGCACGTCATAACTTTTTGACACTCCTTTTCGGTTTCACACGGTATTTCAGGCTTGTTTGTCACCGCTCCTACAACAGCCAGAACACACAGAAAAAGGAGAACAAAAAATCTCATATTCAATATGATGATGATGTTGTTGAAAAAAGCGACTTTTATACACAGGCTTTTTAATTAAAAAGCATGTTAGGACCGTGTGTTCGATGCCGAATGGGATGTGAAATTTCCATTTTTATCACTTTTAATATACGTTCGTTTTGATCAAAAAGTCTATGTGAAGAATTCATGTGTCATTGATGAAATTTGGCACAAATCTATAATGACGTTTTCTAATACATAATGGAGACTCCTAGCTTGTGCTTTCCAGAAACGACTGAAATTTTTTGACCGAAAGTTGATAAGAAGTTGATAATTTCCCATATCAAATACGCCAAGTTGCCATTGTAAAAGCCATAAAATGTAAATTTATTCTTCAATTTCGACCAAAATTTGATAGCAACACGTTTTTAAATTAAAAAAAAACGTGTATAAAAACCCAACCATTACACAACATATTCAAAATTGAATTCAGAATGAAGCTGCTGTTCATTCTCTTCTTTATTCTGGCTGTTGTCGCCATTGCAGTGGAAGGATGGAACGGCTGTAAGACCGACAAGGACTGTCCGGGAGGGAAATGTTATAATCCGAATAATTCAACCGGAAGATGCGTGTGTCCACCTTCGAAAAAGGATTGTAATTTCAAAGTTTAATAACTGTGTCTATGACTTGAATTCCGAAGTAATTCCGATGACTGAGTAATTCTACGTTGTGCTATCATTTATGTGCGGAGATAAAATAAAATTTGCAACAAAATTTTGCCACGATTATACTTTGAATGATTTTTTCTAGGACACATGGGAGACTGTTAGCTCGCGTTTTGCAGAAACGATCTTGGAAAAAATGTAGCGTGGTTTTTTTCTCTGACCGCACTCCGCGTTTCACGTACTCTCTCGGCCGCAAGGATCGTTTAATATCTCGGCTGCCCCCTTACATCTGACTGGGCCCGGTTTTGTCGCCACCCCGGTTTTGTCCCCAAGACGGTTTTGTCCCCAGGAGGTTTTTGTCCCCACTTTTTTCGAGCCTTTTTGTCCCCAGACCGGTTTTGTCCCCAGGACGGGTTTGTCCCCAAGACGCTTTTGTCCGCACTTTTTTTATTTTTTTGTCCCCAAGATGGATAGTACGATTAAAAATTATGCATTCAGATGTTAATGCTGTTGGTTTGGTGCACAGTACTGATCAAACAAGCACTTGGTACTGTATAGTACAAGGTGGTACTATATAGCACGAGGTAAAAATTAAGCCATAACACGTTAATGCTGTTGGTTTGAAGCCCCGGACTTCTCAAAAAATGTGTTTTTAGCACTTGGTACTATATAGTACAAGGTGGTACTATATAGCACGAGGTAAAAATTATGCTATAACGCGTGAATGACGTTGTTTTGGTATGCAGTACTGACCAGACGTTCATTTTGTGCAAAAACAAATTCGTGCTATATAGTACCATGTGCTAAAACACATTTTTTAGAAGTACTGGGCTTCAAACCCATAGCATTGACGTGTTATGGCTTAATTTTTACCTCATGCTATATAGTACCACATCGTACTATACAGTACCAAGCGCTAAGAACAAGTTGTTTGAGCAGTACTGTGCACCAAACCAACAGCATTAACATCTCAATGCATAATTTTTAATCGTACTATCCAGCTTGGGGACAAAAACGTCCTGGGGACAAAACCGGTGTGGGGACAAAAAAATAAAAAAAGTGGGGACAAAAACGTCTTGGGGACAAAACCGTCCTGGGGACAAAACCGGTCTGGGGACAAAAAGGCTCGAAAAAAGTGGGGACAAAAACGTCCTGGGGACAAAACCGTCTTGGGGACAAAACCGGGGTGGGGACAAAAACGTCCACTACGCTTACATCTTGAACATAGCAAAATAAAAAAAAATTAGTCCTAAAAAAATTAATTCTGGGTCATCTGTGCCTCTGTGATAGCTGAGGAAATAATTGGAAGCGAGCAAAATCCAGATTTACTCGCCGCCATTCCATTTCTCGGCTCCGGCGAGTAAACTCCGAGTCTACTCCCGAAAATTGAATTTTTTTCCAAATTTTGGAGTTAACTTCGTGTTTACTCTTTTTTTTTAGCATTTTTGGGAGTAAAAAAATTTTTATTCCAAAATTGAAAAAAACTGAATTCGAAAAAATTTCAAAATTTTTTCGCGAAATCTTTTATCTCGTTTCTTATACGTAAAGATCAGGGGTGAATCAGTATGGCTCCCATTGCCCAGAAGGGGCACTGGGAACAATTCAGCTGTATATTACATAGTAAGGGTTTATTAAATATTTCTTAGAATCATGCGGAAAATTCAACGTCTATGCCAATTTAGGGCCCTGGAGGGCAGTTGCAGTGTCCTTTGGATCCTCCGTATTTATAGCATCTCATTTTCAGCCCAAACATGCATTTGAATGGGAGAAGTTCGCAATCCTTGTCGCTATGGCATGGCTGGCTTAACCCTGCGTTGACAGTGGCAATCGCAGCCAAGATAAGGAGGAACATGACAAACAGTCTCATTTTTCGTTGAATGAGAACAACGCTGTACAATGACCATTTATATCCTATTTTTTCATTAAACTCGCCAAAGTGTTAATCAAGCCAAAATTAATGAGACATTTGCATTTTTTGATGAAAAAAAAAGCAAGGAACGGTTATAATGGCCCTTTCGGAAAGTCGTCGGACTGTCCGAGAATATAGTGAGGGACCTAATACAGTGGCAAAAAACGTATCATTTTGCATCCGGGAAGTATCAAAAATGTGGCAAAATGCCTCACTTTCCAGGTGAAAAAACTTTGTTTTGAACTGCGCGCCGTTTCCCTCACAAAAATAGTGGCCGCGCTTTTGAGATCGGATTTTTTTCCACTTGGACAGGGAGGTATTTTGCTGCATTTTTGATACTTCTCGGATGCAAGATGGTACTTTTTTTGCCACTGGATCAGGTCCCCCACTGTATGTGCGCTCTCCACAGAGACTTTTTACAGTGAGGGACGGGATCCAATGGCAAAAAACGACTCATTTTGCATCCCGGAAGGGACCAAAATGTCTCCAAACCCTTCCCTTCTCTAAGCTAAAAAACCCCGATTTGAAGAGCCCGCCTTGAAGGAAAGGGCGCGCTTTTCAAAGCGGATTTTTTAGCTTAGAGAAGGGAAGGGTTTGGAGTCATTTTGGCCCCTTCCGGGATGCAAAAGGAGACGTTTTTTGCCATTGGATCAGGTCCCTCACTGTAATTAAAACGCACGTATATGAAAAGTGTTAAAAATGTAAATTTTACATCGCATTCGGCATCGAACACACGGACCTAACATGCTTTTAATTAAAAAATCGGTGTATAAAAGTCGCTTCTTCAACAACATCATCATCATATTGAATATGAGATATTTTCTTCCTCTTCTTCTGTGTGTTCTGGCGGTTGTAGGAGCGGTGACAAACAAGCCTGAAATACCGTGTAAAACCCATGATGAGTGTCGATTTCTGAATTGCCGGAGGGGAATTTCGTTATGTGTGCCCATACATCATGGAAGTCGGAAGAAGCATTGCGCCTGCCTAAAAATCTAAGGTGATTTTATGTCCGTGTAAATCCATGTGTGTTTCAACATTTTTTTTGTTTTGAATTAAACATACTGTGGAAATTGGACGGAAGGTATTTTGATGAAAAAACAAAAAAGTGAAATATAATAGTTAAGGGTTCAGACTCCGCCCCTTTACTAGGTCAACGGCCCGATCGAGGCGAATGCCCGATCGGTTGGCCAGCCGATGTGACCGAGAGATTAGAGTGAGGTGACCCTCGGATCTCATATCTAGGCCCTTCGACAGGATGGGGCCGAGGGGCACTCCGTGGGTTTTGTGGTTTTTATGTTTATTATTGTATTTTACTTCTTGGTAATATCTAATAAAGACCTAAGGAATATGCCGTAATTAGACGATCCATAACCGGCCACGCTGCTAAACTAAACGCACGATTCAAAATGGAGGTTTTCCGTGCACGGGTCGCGACAAAAAGTCCATACGGTTTTGAAAACACTATTTAATGTCAGACTGTTGGGAAAATAATAAGCATTCCGTGGCATCGAAAATCGCAACGCCGTCGAGAAAATAAATTGTTCGTTTAATAATTGGACTTATTAAAAAAAGATGACACAATTTGTAAAATTTGCTAAAATTTGAATTTTTGGGATAGCGTTTTAACGCTTTGCCAAAAGAACTGCATGACGAATTTTCGGCGGTTAAAAGATAATTTTGGGGCAGTAGGTCAATGAGAGAATTAGACAACATTGTCTTAGCCATGTGTTTAATGGATGCCTGCAGTCATTTTAAAATCAAAAATTCAAAATCGATGTTTTTCCTAGGTCCAGGCCTAACTGGCAGCATAAAAAAACAAAATTTTTTTATTTTCTTATAAATTATTTATTAAACAAAAATTTCCAACAATTCTTATTATAACATATTATTAAAGACAAAGAAAAATTTAAATTAATGAATAAAATCGCACTTTTTCCCTAATGGGCAGTAATTTTTCAACATGAAGTTTACGCATGGCCTTGTTTTGTAGTTTTTTGGCAGTTCTGGGACTCTCAGTTCTTCTTCTCCATGGGCATATTTGCAGTCGTCTCCATCTCGACACTCTCCAGCCATAAAGTGCTTACAAAGCACTGTTTTGAATCTTCTGGGAAGCCTCTTTTCCTCTGGCATGTTGGACTTGCCCTCAGTGCAAGGGACATTTTGGCCGTTCTGGGGGATTCTCTGGCGATCTTGAAGCTCCCTGAGGCCTTTTCTGTGAATGGCTTCGAAGATTGGCAATCGTATTTCCGCTGGAGGCCCTTTCCGGAAGCGATATTGCACGAGGCCAGGAGATGAGCCAATATCACTGTCCGAAGAGTAGCCAGAAGATGACTCCTGGCTAAAGCATGGAGATGAAGAGGTCGAGGAGGCTTCCTGATGGCCTGTACTTTCCCAGCACGCTGATTCCGCCGAAAAGTCACCATTTCTCCGGCTTGTTTGGCCATGATTGCCCTGAGGCAAGAACTCCACTGGCCGCTGAGGAAGGACGACGGTGGGCTGGTAGAAGACAGGAAGGGCCAGCTGGACTCCATAAGCCATTGTTGGAGCCCCGTAGACGTCTTGGAGTGGCTGGAAAACGGGCTGGACCGGGTAGACTGACTGTGCCATGTGCAACATGTTGAAGCCAACAAAAGAGGTGGTGGGGAACATTTTTGAATAGCGAGGTGAGCTGGAAATAAAGTAAAGGTAATTCTAGGGCACTTAAAAACAGTAAAAACGACTGTACCGCGGTAAACTACGAATTGACAAATAAGAAATTAATTGCTTAAAAAAGGAATTTTACTAATCTTTGGATGGTAAAATACGCCATGAGTTGCTGGAGTGGTTAAAACGACCGATGATTTAATGCCTAGCCAAAAAACCTAATTTAGTTATAAAATACGGTAAAAAACCATAAAAAGACTAAAATCGTATACCTCAAACATAATGTGTCCTAGATAAACTTTCGAGCCCAAATCCCTTCCTCCAACGTGTTCCAAATCCACTGAAACACTATACTGATTTCTAATTTGCTTGTCTGCTTTTATATTCACTTGTTTTGCTTGATTTTGTTATGTAACTCCTTGATTTTAGTTTTTCTGTGCTCCCACAAGCACTCGAATTTACTGTTGTATGATTAAAATTTTCTGCCAGAGGTTTCAACAACTTTCTGCGGTTATGTAACTTGAAAAATTAAACGGAATTCAAATTTGATTTTTCATCAAAAAAATTGAAGATACAACTTTACCGAAAAACAGGCAAGAAACTCTAAAATGGGTGCGAATATTGTTAAAAAGTAGAGAGTTTCTGCAAACCGCGATTTAAGGTCCCAAAAGTCGGTTTTAGGCCAAACGGACTCCGTACCTTTTTATAAGGAACTAACGTTTTTCTCTTGCGATTTGTTGAGCAGAAGTAGCTGGACTATAAATTTGCTGATTTATTTTCTAATGCTTTTTCATAGATATTGACATTTTTTTACTTTTTTGAAGATACGCCAGTTTTGTTTAAAAAAACCTTTTTTTGCGCCAATGAAAGTAAACGTCAAAAAATAATCAAATAAGATTTATTTTGCAACAAAATCATTCAATAAAATTCTTACAAACATGTAGTCAAATAGGCAAACACATTAATTTTTATTCAAAAATCTCGTTTGTTTCTGCAAAACGCGAGCTCAAAATGTCAGATATCTCTTATTAACGTTTCATCTAAATTTGTGCCAAATTTTATTAAGTTTGGACTGTGAAACTTCAAGAACGTCCATTCCAAATTCAATCGTGTAACTTGGTCGGCACAGCCTGCAGGTTTCATTGTCTTGAGGGTGTGTTGGTGTGAGAATGTGTAAATTCCAGTTTTTCAAGCCGAACAGAAATTAATTAATTTTGACTCATTTCATTTTTTCGATGGCGATGCGATTTGCGATACGAAGACTTCTGACATAACAATGCATAATAAATAATCTTTTGAGTGTTGAATAAACGGATTTTTAGAGTGGATGCCCAACTTCTGTACTGTAATTTGTTTAGGACATGATTTCGCAAGATTAATGGGATGTTTTTGGAATATGGGATGTTTCTGCAATATATCAGTCCGTCAGGAAAATAATGGCGGGCCGTCGCGCCTTGAAATCACCCATCATCGCATTGCGACGCCGGCGGCAAAGAGCACCACCACCCCTGACGTTTCATAGCGAAAGAAATATAATATATATGGTATTGCCACAGTTTCCTTCCACTTGGAAGGAAACTGTGGCAAAAACAATCCTTATTGCTGTGGCAAGGTATCAAAAATAAGTGACAACTTTGTTACAAAATTTATTTAATCTGCAGGTATAAATAAATGTTAGCGCAACAAGAGAATTACACAGTAATCGGAATCATTTCAGTAATACCAACACTTACAATGCGGTCGCGTTCCTTGGGCACAGTACGAAAAAAACGGTTTGCAATCCATTTTGCGACTACAATCCTCATTGGTCTTGCAAGATATGAAAGGCTCATCTGGTACGGCGGCCACAACTGCCAGGAAGCACAATAACACGACAAAGAACCTCATATTCGATGTGTTGAGAAAGGTGTTGGAGGGATGGTTTTCGAACGGAGACGTTCAAACTGCTTGTTAAAAGCGTTGAAAAAATTTACATTTAATGGCGTGTGAAATTGAAATTTGGAATGTTAATTTCAGGACATTAACGTAGGAAATTTATGTGACAGAATAGGCAAATAAGCTGATTGTAAAAAATAAAAAATCACACGGCCAAAAGAGTGTTTTTTCCCTGTGATTGCTCTCCGCGTTTCGCGTACTCTCTGGGCCGCGAAGCTCGTTGAATATCTCGGCTACCCTTGGAAAGCGCAAGCTAAAATTTTTGAAAATGTGATATGTGGTCCATGCCAGATGTATTTGCAAATTCTAACGAAGAGTCATCACACTCGGAACACTTTCCTTGCAAGCATTTGACCAATAAACCGACCATCGCTTACTTTTGTTGATTGTGTTCTCACGGCCGTACTTACCTTGCAGCTCAGGAATGCCTTTTTCTACCAAAGTCGATCTGCTCTATTCATCTGTACTAGTCATTTTTCAGAATGCTGGTAGACGTTCAGACCAATCCCAGGGCTTTTTATCGGCTCGTCGCAGCCGTCGTACAGCGGAAGACGGGCGATTGTGAGGCGCAGCGAGTACAAATTACACATCTTTCTGACAGACTGATATGCTTGAGTACAGGCAACCCGGAGCTCGCAGTCTGTCGGGAAAATAATGATGCCGGGCGGCAAATCGTGTCGCAGAGCAAGAAAAACTTCCCACAAAACTTTGTTGAAAAATTTATTTTTTTTTCTCCAGTTTTAAGTTTCACTTGTATAAAAGTTCAGCACAAAGTAAAACTACTTTAAGAAACATTGACACCATTGTCCTACCATCGTTGTGACACACAAGGCCCGGCCAGGTCTGCAAATCACGTCGACACAATCCTTGTCGGTCTTGCACGGTATTACAGGCTTACGTCCTGTTACAGCTACAACTGTCAGGAAACACAGTAACACGACAAAGAACCTCATATTCGAAGTGTTGAGAGGGGTGTTGGAGGGATAGTTATTAAACAAAGGGTTTTTGATTGAAAACGCGTTCAAACTGCTTGTTAAAAGCGTTGAAAAAATTTACATTTTATGGCGTGTGAAATTGAAATTCGGAATGTTAGTTTTAGGGCATTTAGCCGTGCACAAGAAACCCCATTTGCATCGTGCATTTCACTTTTTTTTGTTTCTGCAGCGTTCATTGAATCATCTCCCATCCGCTTTCCATAGCAAGTTTATTTCGCATGCAGACAAATGATTCACACAATATCGTGCCGGTTTGCCCCCCGCGGACGTCATAACTTTTTGACAATTCTTTTTGGTTGGTTTTCTTGCCTCCAAAACTGGCAAAGATACGGCCAAAAAAGTGTTTTCTCTCTGACCACTCTCCGCATTTCGCGTACTCTCTGAGTTTCAAAGATCGTTGGATACCTCGGCTGCGCCTGCAAAGCGTGAGCTAAAGCTTTCAGGAATTGATATGTAAATAGTCTGACGTGTGTGCAAAGTTTGAAGAAAAACTGAGCGTCGCATTATTCATTTGTTGTGCACAGAGCGCATATCAATTGCGGAAAACTTTGTCATACGCTTTCCATGCACATCTGGGAGCTGTCCGACTAACAGAGCGTACGTTTTTTTCGCACGCTTTTGGTCAGAGAAGCGAAAATATCTCGCATTAGCGAGAGAGTCCGAGAAAAACCGTTCCTCTTGATCCAAACCCTGGAGTAGGGCCCAAATTTGGAGCCATAACTTTTGAGCCGGCGGTCGCAAGTTGATAAAACTTACGGGGCTTATAGAGCACACACTTAGCTTTGTTTGAGTATAAAAATCGTCATTAAATATTTCAGTATACCCAAACCCGCCTTGATTTTACTGCAAAAACATAAGAAATCCGCATGAAAAGACAAAAAAATCCGCAATTTCTAAAGTTGGGCTCATAGATCAGCTGAACCGTAAGCTAGAATGCTCAAATTAAAGCTGGGTGTCCTATGAAGTACCACCTTTCATAATTTAAAAAGAGGGTATAACATTTCGACACGTAGCGGATACTGTAACCTCGGAAATCTTTTTATGCACGCATTTTCTACCGTATCTCTCCCTTCTTCCTTCGCTTTTGTGGACAGAAAAGTTCGAGAAAAGGCGCCCCCAAAAAGATTTCCGGGCTTACAGTATCCGGTACACGTCAAAATATTACGCCGTCTTTTCAAATTATCCAAGGCGCTACTGCGTAGCACACGTTGCGTTAATTTCAGAATTCTAGCTCAATTTTCAGCTGACTTATAAAACCAACTTTAAAAACTTTTGGATTTTTTGTGTTTTTTCAGGAAAATCAAGGCGGATTTGGCTATACTGTAACATTAAATAACAATTTGTATATTTCTGTAAAGCTAAATGTCCACTCTATAAGTTGATAAAATTTCATCAATCTGCAGTCAACGACTACAAAGTTACAGGCCCAACTGTGAAGCCCCATCGAAGACAATCGAGCCTCCATTTTCATCGAAAAAAGCGAAAAGAAAAGCGCGGGAAATGATCGGAAATGGGGTGCACAATAAAGTTTTTGGGCTTACTGTGCATGTTATTAGCCAAATTTTTTTGCCGTCTTCCCAAAATAATGACGACAATTGTGTCAGGACTTGCCGTTTTTAATTTTAGCATTTTAGCTGAACTTCTAGCTGACTTATAAGCCCAACTTTGGAACAATACGGTTTTTTTGTGTTTTTGGAGTAAAATCTAGGCGGGTTTGGGTATACTGTAACATTTGCGGACGAGTTTTATACTCTTACAAAGCTAATTGTGCACTCCATTAACCCTGTAAGTTTCATCAACTTGCGACCACCGACTCAAAAGTTATAGCTCCAACTTTGAGACCTACTCTAGGTTTTGGATCAACAATAGCGGTTTCTCTCGGACTCTCTCGCTAATTCGAGATCTTTTCGCTTCTCTGACCAAAAGCGTACGGAAAAAACGTACGCTCTGTTAGTCGGACAGCTCCCTGGGACGAATATTTACCGACTGTTGTGGTTGATAGAGTGCGCACAATGCGGAGAGGCGTCGGTGAGAGAAATGCTACACAATGTCGCCGAAGTGTACTAAAGAAATTCGATTTTGCCGCGACAGAATTCGGTTTGCCGGCGGCGATGCAACTTTTGTGCAACAGAGTGCTAATTACTTTTCCGAGAGACTGATATTTCGATAAGGACTACGGCTTCTCAAAAGAATTTATTTATATATTTACTGCAATCTTTGCCACATTATCAGCTCAATAAATCACCGTCTCAGGAGTTCTTTGCCGGACAGACACAACGATTACCATGTCGAAAACTCGTTTTACATTTTGGTTTAACGTTATACGGACAAGCCATGTAGAGGCAGTCATCGTTGTTGTTGCACGGTTCCGGGGGATAATAAAAGGCGGTGACAGCGACTAAGAAGAACAGAAACGCAACGAACAGCTTCATTTTCGAATGGCTGAATGAATGGTTTGAGAATCATGCTGGAGCTAGGTTTTAATAAGAAAAATTGAAAATTTAAATTAGTCACGGGCTAAAGAGGAATTTTGTATTATTCATGGGAAAGTAGATAGATTAAAATAATTTTTTCCTTTGTGTTGGTGCTGAAATAAAAATATTTTTTTTACCACGAATTAAATTTCATATAATAAGTTTATTAAATATGTCTTAGAATCAGAAAAAACCAATGCGAAAAAATTAGCGTCTAAGCCAAGTTAGGGCCCTGGAGGGCAGGTGCAGCGTCCTTTGGATCCTCCCTGTTTGTAGCACATCGGCTTTAGCCCCATGCATTTGAGATACTCGCAATCCTTGTTGCTATCGCATGGCTCGTTTAACCCAAAAGTGGGCGCTCGGCTTGAAATCGGAGTTTTTTAACTTGTAGAGGGAAGCATTTTGCTGTATTTTTGATACTTCCCGGATGCAAAATGGTACGTTTTTTGCCACTGGATCAGGTCCCCCACTGTATGTGCGCTCTCCACAGAGAGTTTTTAACGTATATGAAAAGTGTTAAAAATGGAAATTTCACATCCCATTCGGCATCGAACACACGGTCCTAACATGCTTTTTAATTAAAAAATCGATGTATAAAAGTCGCTCCTTCAACAACATCATCATCATATTGAATATGAGATATTTTATTCCTCTTCTTCTGTGTGTTCTGGCGGTTGTAGGAGCGGTGACAAAACAAGCCTGAAATACCGTGTAAAACCAATGATGAGTGTCGGTTTCTGCATTGCCGGAGGGGAATTCCGCGCTGTGTGCTAGATTATGAAAGTCGGAAGAGGCATTGCGCCTGTATAAAATACTAAGGTGATTTAGTGTCCGTGTAAATCCATTTGTGTTTCATTAATTTTTTTTTATTTTGAAGTAAACATACTGTGGAAATTGGACGGAATGAGATTTTTATGCAAAAAAAAGTGAAATGCACGATTCAAAATGGAGGTTTTCCGTGCACGGGTCGCGACAAAAAGTCCATACGGTTTTGAAAACAGTATTTAATATCAGACTGTCGGGAAAATAATAAGCATTCTGTTTCATCGAAAATGGCAACGTCGTCGAGAAAATGAATTGTTGATTTAATTTATTTCACTAATCATATGTAAAGATCACGGAGTGAATCAGTATGGCTCCCATTGCCCAGAAGGGGCACTGGGATCAATTCAAGATCCTTTCATTGACTATAGCACATTTGAAAATCGTTAGTACATCTTATCATGGGCCGTATGACCGGCTGTATGTAGGGGGTTTCTATTCCAATATTAGCCTGTCGGGAAAATTGTGAGCGCTCTATGGCTGCGCTGATCGCGTCGCTGAAGTGAAAAGTCACTTGATTTTATAAAAATAATTCATTCTCTCGAGTTGAGCGCTCATTATTTTCCCGACAAACTGATATGAGAGTACAAATAGGATCAAGGCATTCCATGAAGAATTGACCGTTTATTTACCAGAACAAATTTCAAATTCAATCGCAAATTGAGCTCAAGCACAAACGCACAACTTCTTGCCCATGTCGACACATTTGGCGGTCTCTCCCGGAGGGCATTGCTTTTGCGAACACTGGGAGTCATCTGAGCACGGCACTTCGTCCTTGGCCACTTCGATCGCAGAAGCGATGGCAATGAAGAGGAAGAAGAAGATGACAAACAATCTCATGGTGAATCTTGTTGAACCCAATCTCCAACCGAAGCCTTATAAAGAGCTTTGTGCAATAAAAAACACGTTAAAAACGTCGTACATTCACATTGTAAAAATGGAAATATGTGAATTTTATTGGCTTTGAAGGTTCGAATGTAAAATTTAAAATTCTAAAATTGTGAAAACGCGATGTTCAGCGGGGAATGTTAATGATTTTTAATGGAATCTACCGCTCGACATGAATATGGAATTTACAGTGTGTGCAGATCACATGGGACTCTGTGGTGCAACTGGCAGAAGGCATGCGTTTTCCCCAGCTACCAATCGTTCGAGACAGTGCGCAATTCTTTTCGTGCCTTTGGAAATCGTTGATACATATTATCATGAGGCGACGAGTGGCTGTTTGCAGGGGCTTTCCGTTACAGTATCAGCCCGTCGCACATCAACCACAAACAGAATGCCAAGATTTTTGGCATTCGGTTTTTTAAGGGGCTCTAATGTTTTAGCTTGCTGTGCAGTGGATAATGCACAAAATAACATGAACCTGCAATTGAAATATTGCCAAGGACTCATAATTTTTAAATTAGTAGATTTTGACGGGTTTTCGGCCACCGGGTTAGCGGAAAAACGCCTGAGAAAATCGAATTTTTGCGAACTTTGCGGCCCAATAACTTGTCCAAAACTATTGAAACATGAAAAGTGATTACAACGATCTTCAGAGTATTGTATTCTAAAGTAGCGTGCAAAGTTTGAAGCAAATCGTTGTAAGTTTTTTACCTTATGGATTATATTACTTTGGACAACTTTTAATGTCCGACAACGTTAAACAGTCAAATAAATGTTGGATTTTTTCGGGGTTTTCGATAAGGTTGACGTTGAGAACAAAGAAGGAAATTGCCAAAACGTTGCAAGTTTTGCAAACATTGCGCTGCCCTTCATCATCACTTTTTGGTTTGCCGTTCCACGTTTTTGGCTAGCCATTTTAAAAAAATTGGCTGTCATTTCTGCTCTCTGACACTTCCAACCCTATTGGCATCCTTTTTTTGAGACCTCAAAACCAGTCTGGCACGATGGCTAGCCAATCCATGTTCCCCAAGTCCTCAAATGAAAAGCCCCTAAATGAAATCTGCCCCAAATGAAGTGTAGCCGAATTTTTGCAAAGCTTGCAACGTTTTGGCAATTTCCTTCTTTGTTCTTTCTCAACATCAACCTTATCGAAAACCCCGAAAAAAACCCGACATTTCTCGGTGATTTTCAACCGAAAAACTTCGAAATTTCTCAGTCATTTTCAACCGAAAAACACTGGTTTTCGGGGTAGGAATGCCTCTACTTCAGAAGGTCGTAGCGACCTCAGTTTGCACTTTAAAATCTAGCTATTTCGTAGACAAAAATTAATGTCGCTTAAAAATACGTATTCCAAAGACGAAGTCTCTGCGCCGCCTCCGCCGGAAGTTATAGCCTCCGACTTTCCTTCAAGTTTTTTGTAAGACCCTGTAAATTTGAAACTTTTCCAGGCAAACTGATATCCATCTTCATTCGCCAGGTCCTATGTGATCTGCAAACGCTGTAAATTCCATATTCATGTTGAGCGGCAGATTGCATTAAAAATCATTAACATTCCCCGCTGAACATCGCGTTTTCCCAATTTTAGAATTTTAAATTTTACATTCGAACCTTCAAAGCCAATAAAATCCAAATATTTCCATTTTTACAGTGTGAACGCACGCCGTCTTTAACGTGGCTTTTTATTGCACAAAGCTTTTTAATAACAAGATTCACCATGAAATTGTTTGTCATCTTCCTCCTTTTCGTCTTCATTGCCATCGCCTCTGCGACCTAAATAGCCAATGGCGACGTATCATGCACAGATGACACCCAGTGTGCTGAAGCGCCATGAACTCTGAGAATGTACCCCTTATGTGACACCATGCTCAAGAGATGTCTGTGTTATGAAATGACCTTGTATTGATCCCAGTGTCCCTTCTGGGCAGTGGGAGCCATACTGATTCACTCCTTGATCTTTACATATGATTAGTGAAATAAATGAAACGAACCATTCATCTTCTCGGCGGCGTTGCAATTTTCGATGCGACAGAGTGCTCATTATTTTCCCGACTGACTGATATGAGAGTACTAATAGGAACAAGGCATTCCACGAAGAATTGGCCGTTTATTTACCAGAACAAATTTCAAATTCAATCGCAAATTGAGCTCAAGCACAAGCGCACAACTTCTTGCCCATGTCGACACATTTGGCGGTCTCTCCCGGAGGGCATTGCTTTTGCGCACACTGGGAGTCATCTGAGCATGGCACTTCGTCCTTGGCTTCGAATGCAGAAGCGATGGCAATGAAGAGGAAGAAGAAGATGACAAACAATCTCATGGTGAATCTTGTTGAACCCAATCTCCAACCAAAGCCTTATAAAGAGCTTTGTGCAATAAAAAACACATTAAAGACGTCGTACATTCACATTGTAAAAATGGAAATATTTGAATTTTATTGGCTTTGAAGGTTCGAATGTAAAATTTAAAATTCTAAAATTGTGAAAACGCGATGTTCAGCGGGGAATGTTAATGATTTTTAATGCAATCTGCCGCTCGACATGAATATGAAATTTACAGTGTGTGCAGGTCACATGGGACTTTGTGGTGCAAACGGCAGAAGTCGTTCGTTTTCTCCAGCTCTTAGTCGTTCGAGAAAGTGCGCTATTCTTTTCGTGCCTTTGGAAATGGTTGATACATATTATCATGAGGCGTACGACTGGCTGTTTGTTGGGGGTTTTGATTCCAATATCAGCCTGTCGGGAAAAAAGTGAGCGCTCTGTGGCTGCGTTAATCGCATCGCTGAAGCGAAAGACAACTTGATTTTGTCGCAATTCATTTTCTCGGCGGTGATGCGATTTTCGATGCGGAATTGCGCTCATTACTTTCCCGACGATAGTATCACTGCCAGAACTTAACAATACTCCGTGATTGTCTCCACTGTTTCCTTCTTTCAACGCTTTTTCGAAGGCTGCAATTTTTTTGATACCTTTACTTCGAATTTAATAAAACCTCCAATCAAAGCCTAATAAAGTGCGTTATGCAACAAAAAGCCACGTTAAAGACGGCGTGCGTTCACATTGTAAAAATGGAAATCTTTGAATTTTATTGGTTTTGAAGGTTCGAATGTAAAATTTAAAATTCTAAAATTGGGAAAACGCGATGTTCAGCGGGGAATGTTAATGATCTTTAATGGATAATTGTTAGGTTTTTTCAAAACATGAGTCAACCGAGACTGGTATTGAAACAATGAAAAATTTCATGCTCATTTCTACCGTAGAGGGTTATCTTTCCACAAAAAAATAATTTTTCCGCGCGAAACTAGCAAAGGTATGGCCAATTTTTTTCCTTTCTGGCCGTTCTTCGCGGAGCTCAAAAACCTCTTTCAAATTTTTTTACATGCTCTTCAAGGACTTCACTCACCACAAAAATATTTAATCAGATAAAAACGCACAAAAGGTATTTAGCAATATATTTATGTAACTACTCATTACCAAGTCAAATTAATGCTTTGTTTTCATCAGGACGGCATTGACATGATGAATCAACGAAAACAAAAACACATTTAGGTTCTAGGTCATCGGGGCAATCCATGTAATTGCAATCCGCGTCATCCATGCACTCTGTTTGGGCAGATGCAACAGCGACAAACAAGAGGAAGATAACGACCAATCTCATGGCGAAGCGATGATTGAAAGGCAGGAACCGAAAAATGTGGCTGACAGCGGGACGAGAGGCCCGGTGAGACAATCACACGACAAGACGAGAAGCTCGAATTCAACTGATTTATTGAGTGAAAAGCGGACCTTTTTATACTACATCTTTTAATAAATTTTTTGACAGTCTGAAGGCGTTAAAGACGAAAAAATTTAAATTTTGATTGCCTTGTTTGTGAATGAAAGTGGTTGAATTTCTGACGGTATTCATGAGGCAATTCGAAATCCTATGTGGCAAAGTACAGTCAAATTTGAATAAAAAATGATGATTTGCGTGGGGACTCCGGATCGAGGTTCGGTCTTTCCACACCCAGTATTTGTCTTGACCCCGTAAGGGCTCACCAAGTATGGGCTTCTTCCCCTGTGCAAGAAAAGTCAGGGTGCAAGCGACAGGCCAAAAAGCAGGGGTGGTCAGCAGACCCTATTTTTCCGATTTTCGGCCCGCGGCCCGGCCCGTCTAATCACCGGCCCGGCCCGGCCCGTCTAGTCTTTTTCCAGGCCCGGCCCGGCCCGTGCAGGCCCGTCTATAGAGGGTTCTGCGAACTGCGCCCAGGCTCGGGATCTAAACTGAGGCAAAAAAGGCGTTGATCTAGCTAGTAAAGGATCAATGTGATAGTTTTGTGGTTCTATAATGGAACTATAGACTTGTAAACGTGTTAGAACTTGAGAAACAGCAACTATAACAACATCAATTAATTTTCCCGGCGCGAAAACAATGAATGCCAACGGTTTGGCATTGTAATTTAGACGGGCCGGGCCGGGCCGGAAAAACCCCAGGCCCGCGGCCCGGCCCGGCCCGGCCCGTGACGGGCCCGGCCCGTTTGTAATTTTCCATTTTTGAGGCCGGCCGGCCCATTTGGGCCGGCCCGGGCCGGCCCGGCCCGCTGACCACCCCTGCCAAAAAGCCCATTGCACGTCAGTCCAGCGCATTTCCTGAACCGTTTCGAAACTTCGTATCGTTTTCATTGATTTAAGAGAGAGACGAAATGTCGCGAAGTTATCGGCGCTTTTTCTCGCCCTAAACAATTGCTTTTTCTCGATAAGGAAGAAGAAAGATAGGAAAATGCTTTTTATCGAATAACGACATTTCGTTTTGAACGAATCACCAAAAAGGGGCGGGAAATTTTTTCTTCTATGTATTTTGGATTGACGTGCATTGCACGGTGCAAAAACCAACAAATTGCACAGTGCAAAGTGAAGTTTTTTCTCACAGTTTACTCTTCAATGACTTCTCTCGCCACAAAAAAAACAATCAGATAAAAACGTACAAAAGTATTTAGCAATAAATTTACTTAACTACTCAATTAGGAAGTCTTCACTAATGCATAGACAAGATGTTTTACCGGAACTAATATTAGAAACACAATAAGGGCGTGCCCCGTCATAGCATTCCGATTCCAGGTAAGTGCAATCCTCGTCCCAATCGCATGATTCCCGTGTGGCAAATGCAACAGCGACCAACACGAGGAAGATGACGAACAATTTCATGGCAAAGCGGCGATTGAAAAGGCAGGGATCGAAGAATGTGGCTGACGGAGTGCAGATAGGGCCTATTGAGACAATCACGCGACAAGGCGAGAAGCTTGAATTCAACCGATATATTGAGTAAAAAGCGGCCCTTATAAAGGCAAATCCCACGTGGCAAAGTATAATCAAATTTGAATAAAAAACTATGATTTGCGTGGGAACTCGGGATCGAGGTTCGGTCGTTCCACGCCCAAGTATTTGCCTTGACCCTGTAAGGGAAACAAGCCCACACGCTTACCACGTGTGGGCTAGTTTCCCTATACAAGAAAGGTCAGGGTGCAAGCGACGACCAAAAAAGCTGCCTTGCACTGTGCAAAAAGCAACAAATGGCACAGATGAGCACAATGCTGCCGAACTGAAGAGCAATTTGATTTAGCCGCGACAGAATTCAGTTTATCGGCGGCAATGTTATCATTGTGCTCATTATTTTCCCAGCAGACTGATTTGCACTTTGTTCTTCACATTACTTGGACCTCAAAATGTTGCGACAAGAGAGTTGGCAAAGATTTAGGGCAATTTTGTTCTCCGAGATATGCGAGATTTTTCGCTCACGGTTTGCAGAAAAAACCGTGCCTTTTCAATTATCAGCCTGTCGGGAAAATAATGTGGATTTATCGAACCTTGGAATCGCCTATTATCGCTTTGCGACGGCTGCCAAAACTGGAAATTTGGTGCGCGACTGCACCGAGGCGAAACATTTTCTTCTTAACTCAAGATACGATGAGAGTTTTCAAAAAATTTTGACCGGTCAAATGTATTTATTGCTTTCAAAATCACCTCTGCAAATCGCCAAACTTATGATAGTCTGTGGGGCTTTGCGCAGTAGCAGATCATCCCGTTCAATGCGATGCATTTGGGCACCCGATCCCTGGGGCATCCCATTGAAGCGCAGTCGGCGTTGTGCCGGCATTGCGCGCCCAGAATCTCAATGGCGGACGTAGCAGCAACAAGAACGAGCAGGAAGATAACCAAGATTCTCATGATGAATTGAAGGTTGACGTCGGCTCCGCGTCCTCCCTTTATATACCATGCTTTTGCAATAAAAATGAGCACATCCAAACCGCATGTTCTAACGTTTCGAGGTCATAAAAATTTTATTTTTTCAGCGTTTTTGAACATGTGAATGCATGTTAATGAACTGGCATTTTAATTCGGTGCAAAGTCCCTAACTATTCGACAGAGCGCACATGAATTGCACAACATCAGATCATATGGACTATACTGACTGTATAAAGGGAGTCTTTATACAGTCCTACATGAAACGAATCGCAATCCAAAGAACGCTCAGTATGGTAATTACTGATTCATATTGACTTTTGCAGCATCGGTTCCACACGTTCTTTTCAGCAGAAATACAGCGGTTGGACCTGATCCAGTGGCAAAAAACGTACCGTTTTGCATCTAATAAGTATCAAAAAATGTAGCAAAATATCTCCGTCTCCAAGCTAAAAAACTCCGATTTCCAAAGCGAGCCCTAGTTTTTGTGAGGGACCCTTCAAAACAAAGTTTTTTCACTTGGAGAAGGAGGTATTTTGCCGCATTTTTTGACATTTCCCGGGTGCAAAATGGCGCGTTTTTTGCCACTGGATAAGGTCGTCACTGTATTAGACCAACATCTCGGGCTTTACACTAGTAGTGGGTAATGCCTCGGGCCGCGACCCTGTCTATAGTACGTGTATTTTTTGAGATACCAAACCAACATCATGCACGCTTTATGTCCATGTATCAACCCATCACAATTCACACATTATGGACCATCAAGTGTTAGTAGTACCTCAATTACTTTGTAGTTCTTACAATAACAGACTGCTTACATGATGTGCACAGAAACTTGGGGGAAAATAAGGCCCAAAGAAATGGGGACACCGTTTTTAGGGACGATCAAAAATATGTTGAAGCTGCCAAAGATATGGGGTTTTCCTCTGTGACCGCCCTCCGCGTTTTGCATACTCTCTCGACCGCAACGATCTACCATTTACATTCTGTCTAAATTATCTTTTAATCAGATATCTTCAGAAAACATTAAATGCGAATGGCGTCACATGTCATGTTCGCGCAACATCTGTGCTCGTTTCACCCGAGGTCAGCCGCTCCTTTAAGCAGATCAAGATTAAAGTGTCCTGCGTTTTACTCCGAATACACTCATGGCTGTGCATTATTTCTTTGGCCTTTAATTTTTTCCGATTTGAGCTATATTTCGACATTCTGATATATTCCAATATCCATGAATAACTGTTGCTTATTTATATACGTTTAAATATAATATAATACCAATATATTGAAATATATAATATTAGAGGGTGGCAAAGAAAAAATGCAACTTATATTTATGGCCATATTTTGTCTAAAACCCCAAACTTAACTAAAGTAACGGTTGATATCAGTAACATAGAGTATTGTTAATAATATGTTCGGCTAGTTTTACGGTGGCTCTTGGCGCCGAGATAGAGCTCCAAACGTTGCTTTAAATTTTGGGCGATCCGCCGAAGCTTTTTTTGGGAAAATCGATCGCGCTCTTGGCGCAGCGATCATTTAGCGGCTCCAAAGTATTGTGGCGTGAAGTACACAGGTACTGCTTTCCAACTGAGAAAAAAATGTAGTCGGATTCAGATCCGGCAAGTAGGCGACCATTTCACAGACCGCATAAAATCGGGAAAACAGGCCGGTTCTTGGCCTTGCGTCTGTTTTGCTTTATGAATGATGGCGGAATCCTGCTACGACGTCGATTTTGAATCGCCTAAATGATACTGAGCCCACGCAATCACGATGGTCTCCAAAATGTCACTGTTCGGTTTCGTTTTGACCTCATTATCCACGAAAAACAGGGTTATCACGCTGATGGCGCAAAATTTTGCCCCAGGGCATGACGGACCGGACTTTTACGAGTTTTAAAAATGGCGGATGATTATTGATGCTCCACAGTCCAACTCCTGTCATTCTGGTGGTTGTAGGTTTGGTCGATGCTGAAATATGTCTCATCCGCGAACAGGACCTTCTCTCATCGCTGAGCTGCGGTGCAACGCTTGAATTTTCGATATTTTTGGAGCCGTACTTGCTTGTAGCGTTCCGTGAGGCCCTAGAATTTTTTGGAACTTGTAAGACGTGCGCTACGGTGCATAGTTGACCATTCGGCAACCAGCTGTTCTGTGGATGCCAGGGCAATCTTTTTCATAAACACCATCAGATTTCGCTTCGCTCGCTTTTTGATGATCTTGTGGTTGGCAGAAGTGAGGGCCATCAAGGATTTCCGATGAACAGAATGAGACAACCTTATCAACGGTGGCAACACATCACGCATCGATTTTGTTATTTCATATGACAGTACAGATCTAAACGAACTGTCCAACATCTTGGATGATGTATGTGAAATATTCTATGGCCAAAGAAATCAACACGTCGTTAATCCATTATTACAGCGGATATTATACAACTTTTTGTTCGTGGAAGGGCCTACATAAAATACAATTTACAAAATAGTAATGAGAATGCTGGTAAGTTTTTTTTGTTACCGCTTACGATCGTTATTAACAGGGGAAGTACTCCAAGTACTACGCTCAGATTTTGATGAAACTTGACACAAATTTAGAATAATTTTTTTAAGGTATATGCGAGAATCCTAGCTCGCGCTTTGCGGAAACAACCGAGATTTTTAGACCGAAAGTCATGAAAAATTTAGGAGTTTTTGCCAAATTTCGGCACGAAAAGTTTCATGCCTATTTCAACCGTAAAGGTTAATGTTTCTGCAAAAAAATCAGATTTTTCCGCACGAAACTGTCAAAGTTCTGGCCTAAAAGCGCTTTTCTCTCTGACCGCTCTCCACGTTTAACGTGCTCTCTCGGCGGTAAAAATCGTTCGATATCTCGGCGGCGGCCGTAAAGCGCGGGCTAAAACTTTCAGGAATTGATACTTAGTCCATACCCGACGTGTGTCCGAAATTTAAAGAAAATCTGAGCGTGCACTTGGAGGACTTCCCCTGTAAGTAGCATTTTCATTCTATGAAGAAAAAAAAAACACATTTTTTAAGAGTTAGAAGTGCTGGACATCGATGCTGATCTGCATGTGGCGTAGCAAAGAGCAATGGAAGAGAACCAAGGTGCCCGAGAAGACCCTGAAGTTATCGTGATCGAACCCTTTTTTGATGAGGATCCTGAAGAAGAAGATTTTCCAACCACTTTTGACAATGAATGCCCGGTGTGCCTGGAACGGATAGTTGGCCGCCGTTTTCGATGTCCAAATGGTCATAACAGCTATTGTGAATCATGTGGTATTTCTGCATTCGATATTAACAGACGAATTCAATGTCCATTATGTCGCGCCAGAAGTGTAAGACTTCAAATGGCAGATCCGGCGAGTAGGCGGCCATCTCACAGACCGCGTAAAACCTAATTGATACTGAGCCTACGCAATCACGATGGTGAAGGAGGGAATGGTGTGTTTTATTACTACTAACAGCGGTAAATGAGCAGCAAACCCACGGACGGTACCGTCAAATTGGAAAAGTAAAATAGAGAGATAACATGTCGGCTTTATGTAACAGGTAAAGAAATCTTTTTTTCACCGGTTTCGTGACCAATTTGGGAAAACAACGCCTTTTTTTGGCTAACAAATGCAGCATTCGGACCGCAGCAATGCAATGACAAAGGTATGAATCTATTAAATCTGAAGCAAGACTTCTTTCAGTAGAATTTTCACAACTGCCTCGTAATTCACTGTTCGAGATTAGTATTACCAACGACCAGCAATGCACAGTGCAAAATGCTCGAAAAAACAGCAGCTTTTGACTTTCTAGAAAATTGATAAAAGCCAATTCCACGATTTTATTACGTTATCAAAAGCACAGCTCTCTGCAATACAATCAAAAATTCCATTTTAACCACAATTACATCTCTTATCAACGCACTGACCGCGTTGTCCAATTGGACATCCCAAGAAGGCACACTCAACGTCTTGTCCGCAACTAACAAACGCAACAATAGCTGAATCCACGATGACAAAAGTTAAAACGAAAAGAATCGCAAGTATTCTCAGCACAAGCATTTTTGCGGCCATTGGTATGAACGTCTTTGTAGGAATGAGAATGGTTCACAACGGTCTTTCACAGAGACATCAAGGTTTTATTTATTTAATGAGCGTAGAATTTTTGCATTTAATCAAGCTAACAACTAATAGAGAAATGATAGAAATGTTCAACGTGAGACGCTCAGATTTTGACGAAACTTGGCGGAAATTCATAGAGCAAAAAACCTTGTTCTGCCGTATCAGTCAACTAAAAAAATTTTGAGAATTTTTTGCCTGTTTTTTGGGATCATGGCACGAAATCTCACAATGCAGGGACGCAGAAAATTCCAAGGACTTTGTTGCGTAAAAAAATATATCTAAACCAACATCGATGGCCAACACTTTTAACACTCAAAATTAAAGCTAAAGAGAGCCTAGCTAGTCTATAAGCTAGTCTATAGCTAGCCTCTCCCTTTTACAATCAAAATAAAACTTTTCTCAAGAAATAAAAAAACCTGTGAATACTCAATGAGAGCAAGAATCGTCAACGGGCGTTGTGGTTAGAGTTCTAGTATCATGTTGAGATTCAACGTACCAAAAGGCGAAAAAATCCTCATTGTCAGAACTTTTCTCGGAATAGCACGCAGATGCCTTTCTGCGTGCTATTCCACAGCGCGTGACTCAGTCTAGAGTTGGTGGAAAAATAAATATTTCAATTTCACAGTACCAACCAGAGATTGCCACGACTCCGGAGCCGGCACTTGGCTCCGGCTCTGAGCGGCTCAGCCAGGCTTCCCAGTGGTCAGAAAAGTAAAAATTTCGTGATCTTGTTAAACCAAATTGCTTGAAAAAACACTGCGGAGGATGTGACTTGACTGCAAAAACGTTGGCTGTATGATCTCTGGCACTAATAACTTTTATTTTTGGAAAAGTATTTTTATAAAAACATTTTGCATAGGAGCCGGGATTCGGAGCCAGAGGCCTTTTTAAATTTTGCACGGAGCCATGAGCCGGAGCCGGAGCTGCAAATTTGGCCTCGGCTCCGGCTCTGGGAGCAAAGAGCCGGAGCCGAAATTTTGACCGTGGCAATCTCTGGTGCCATCGGCATTGCTGAAGTGAAAAGCAATTCGATTTTGCAGCGACACGATTCCTTTTCTCGGCAGCGATGCGACTTTCGATGCGACATTGAGCTCATTACTTTCCCGACGGACAAGAAACACCAAGCATGACAAAAACAAAAAATCTGTATATTTATGGTGTATTAAAGGGCATTTCATTGCTTGGGCGGTGGTGATAGGGGAATAGCCGGCGGTGGCGGTAATACACATTGGCACATTCCGCGCGGTATAGTAACGCGCACGTTTACTGGAACACACATTGGAAAACTTCCCTCGGGGCATTTCATTCCAACACAGTCTTTGCCCTTGTTACACGCCCTGTGTTCAATGGCAGATGCGACAGCAACCAACAGCAAGAATATAGCAAACAATCTCATGGCAAATCAGTGGTTGGAAATGTGTCGGACAGAGGGGCTTTTAAAGGCGTCGCGACACTTGCGGGCAACCACTTTGCGGGCAACCAGTTTGCGGGCAAACTTTTTGCGGGCAACCACTTTGCGGGCAAAATTTTGGGGGGTCACATTTGCGGGCAGCTGAAACATTTGCGGGCAGCTGAGACACTTGCGGGCAGCCTGGGACACTTGCGGGCAACCGACACTTGCGGGCAGCCGACATTTGCGGGCAACCGGCACCTGAGGGTTACAGGGTGGAGGTGAAAATATTACTGCGATATTTTGGAAATTTGCCGACATTTGCGGGCAGCCGACACTTGCGGGCAACAGGAAAAAACAATCACACAGACTGTATAGGAACTTTTGGAACTGTTGCCCGCAAATGTCGGCTTCCCGCAAGTATTGCCTGCCCGCAAATGTCGGAAAACTTCCAAAATATCGAAGTAATTTTTCCACCTCTACCTTGTTATCATCAAGTGCCGGTTGCCCGCAAATGTCGGCTGCCCGCAAATGTCGGCAAATTTCCAACATATCATAGTAATTTTTCCACGTCCACCCTGTTACCCTCACAATCAGGTGTCGGTTGCCCGCAAATGTCGGCTGCCCACAAATCTTCCAGGCTGCCCGCAACTGTCGACCCTGCCCGCAAATGTCCCAGGCTGCCCGCAAATGCCGGTGCTGGCCGCAAATGTCGGCTGCCCGCAAAGTGGCTGCCCGCAAAAAATTTGCCCGCAAACTGGTTGCCCGCAAAGTGGTTGCCCGCAAGTGTGCGCCCGCCCTTTTAAACTCCATTTTTTAATTAAAAGACTTGAAAACCGCATGTTTAAGGCGCTGAAATTGAAAAAAATTAAAATACATATTGCCTTCTGATATGCAAATGTAAATGGCTCGGTTTTCGACCCTAGAAATGGGGCAATTTAAAGTTCAATTTCAAAAATATTGTTTTTGTGTACACAATCAAATATCAATAGAGTTTTGATCCAGGTAAGGCTCTATAAGCCTACCTGGAGTCGTTTTCAGCATAGTTTTCAAAGAAACGTAGTCTAGAACTCGCATGTTTCTTGCACACAGTATTGCTAAGAGGCATGCTCCAGTTTTCTTGGCGTCGCGACACTTGCGTTTTCTAAGGTACTTTTTAGGTTAAACGCCTGTCGGGAAAGTAATGAACACTCTGTCGGATCGAAAATCACATCGCCGCCGAGAAAATGAATTGTGTCACAGAAAATCAAACTGCTGACCACTTGAGGCGATCGGCGTAACGAAATTGTGTTCATTATTTCCCCGACAGACTGATAATACCTCAAGCATGACAAAAACAAAACAGCTGTATATTTATTCGGTATTAAAAAACATTTCATTTCTTCGTTGTTGGTGCGCCAAATCAGACACAATCGCAAAATTTGTCGCTACCCACTGAAAGACATTTCGGTGTTGTGCCTCGGGAGCATGGAAATCGAACGCAGTCCCTGTCCGTGCGGCAAAAATTGGCAGATGCCACAGCAACCAACAACAAGAATATTGCGAACAATCTCATGGTAAATCAGTGGTTGAGAAATCCGTCCGAGGCAGGGGCTTTTATACTCCATTTTTTAATTAAAAGGGTCGAAAACCGCATGTTTAAGGCGCCGAAATTGAAAAAAAATTAAAATATTTATTGCCTTGTGGTATGTAAATGTAAATGGTTCGATTTTCGACCCTGGGAATGGGGCAATTTAAAGTTTAATTTCAAAAATATTGTTGTTGTGTACACAACCAAATATCAATGGGTTTTTGATTCTGGTACGGCGCTGTAAGCCCGCCTGCAGTCGTTTCCGGCGTCTTGTTCGAAGAAAACGGGCTAGAATCCTTGTATTTTTCTTGTACGGAAAATTCCACAAAATCGCTTATTTTAACCTACATGTTAGTTTTATAGTCTGTCGGGAAAATAATGAGAATTCCGTCGGAACAAAAATCGCATCACCGCCGAGGAAATGAGTTGTGTCGCGGCAAAATCAAATTGCTTTTCACTTCAGCGACGCGATCGGCGCCGCGAAATTGTGTTCATCATTTTTACGACAGATTGATACTCTACTGGTATGTTCACAAAGTGCGTAGACGTTCTTTTGCCTTTTGTCGCGAACGCACAGGCAGTCTGCCCTTCCCCTTTAGTCGGTGGATTTTTTTGGCGACGCTTACGTTCGCCGAAAAGTTTACGGACTTTATGACGCTCCAAGTAAAAGAGTACATCGCCAAGGGAATCAGTAAGGGAGGCTGTAGAGAGAACTCAAAGTAGACCACAAACGCTCTACCGAGAACCAGAGATTGCTACGGCTCCGGAGCCGGCTGTTGGGTCCGGCTCTCGAGCCAAAGTCAGAGCCGCGCTTCTCAGCGTCCAGAAAAGTAAAAATTTCGTTAAACCAATTGCTTGAACAATAATACTTGGATGGCGTACGACTTGGCTCAAAAATGTTGGGTGTGTCATCTAACAATTTTTATTTTTGAAAAAATATTTTTTTTTAAATTTTTGCACGGGTTTATTGGGTATTAAAAATCATTTATTCCTTCTCTGTTCGTCGATCAAATGGAACACAATCGCAATGTCCGTGGTGCTTCACAATACGACATTTGGGTCCAGCTCCTTCGGGGCATACTAAATAATCGCAGTCCTTGTCGTGGTGGCACGGTTTGAATTCAACGGCGGATGCCACAGCAACCAACAACAGGAAGAGAGCGAACAATCTCATGGCAAATCAGTGGTTGAGAAATCCGTCCGACGCAGGGGTTTTTATACTCCATTTTTTAATTAAACGATTTGAAAACCGCATGTCTAAGGCGCTGAAATAGAAAAAAAATAAAATATATATTGCCTTGTGTTATGTAAATGTAAATGGTTCGATTTTTAAACGCAGAAATGAGGCCAATTAAGGGTTACGAAGTCATAAAATGTAAATTTATCGGTCCTGTTCTCAACCTAAATTTAAAATTTTCTCATAAAAAACGTGTGCCCAACGTCTTCTTCGACCATATCAAGAATGAAATTCTCAGTCGTGCTCCTCTTCTTTCTGGCCACTGTTCCCATCGCCCAGATGCCATAATGTATAGACAATAAGAACTGCTTATCCAGAACATGCTATTGGGGTAAAGCAGAGTGCGTGCAATTCACGTATTGAAAGATTGTGTCCGGTTGAATTGTGATTTTTTGATTTGCGCTTACACAATATGTATACTTCAAATCACAAGAAAACTGGGGGCTAAGGTAGTACACCCCAAAATTTATTTCAAAGAATTAATCCAAGTTGTATGGTCCAGCACAAGCCCCCTACGTTTTAGATCAAGCCCCATACGTTTTAGATGAAGCCCCCAACGTTTTAGATGAAGCCCCCTCCGTTTTAGATCAAGCCCCCAACGTAGTAGATCAAACCCCCACTTACTTTTTTGTATTATTCTAATTTGTTCATTATGTGGGGTGTGAAACGGGCAAAACGGTGGGGGTTTGAACTGCCTTTCGTGGGGGGCTCAACTACCGAAGCCCCGAAAACTGTTATGTTATGCCATTGGCTTGCCGTATATGTATAATATGTATATTATATTTCTAACTGACGGATCTCATTGAGATTGGGGAAAAATATTGCGGACATAACACTACATAATGCGAATATGTCCCGACATGTCTGCTGGAGTGATTTCGACAACATTTACTGTAAGAAAAAAGTTTACCTTTCACTGTGCAATTTGTTGGTTTTTGCTTCTCAAACGGACTATTATTATAGTATGTCGATTTTCCCGATTTCATGCCGTCTGCAAAATGGCCGTCTGGTCACCGGATCTGAATCCGATGGACTATAAAAAATTTTCAGTTAGAGGCCAACGCCTGTACTACACGCCGCAAAAGTTTGGAGCCGCAAAGTAATCGTTGCGCCAAGAACGGGACCAGTTTCCCCGAACAGAGCTGCGGCCCCGAGGCCGAAATTTTAAGTTACGTTTGGAGCTCTATATCGCCTCCAAAGGCAGCCACTGTGAAACCGGCTTAACACGTTATCAATAATCCTCTATGTTACTGATATCCATCGTTAGTTTTGCTAAATTTCGTTGAGCATATAAAATGTAGCTATAAAAATAACATGCATTATTTTTGGATACCCTGTATGATCCTCAATGACAAAACGCGTTTATTCGTGCACACCACAAAATTAACCGTTAATTTTTTTCATATACAGTTGTGAATCCGGACAGCGGCATTCTCCAAGCGGTACGTCGTAGTCCTTCTTGCATACCGGACTACGCCCATCCGCACATCTCACCTCCGTTGCGCATTCCCTGTCGCCCCTGCAATAAGTGTTGGATTGGGCGACGGCGGTAACAGCGAGCAAAAGAAGTAGGAACACAGCAAACAATCGCATTATGAAATGATTAAAAGAGGCGCTGAATGCATCATTCTTATAGCAGAACTTTAATTAAGACGCACATTAGAGTTGTTGAAGTGGAAAAATTTACATTTATGGCTTTCCTCTTACGCCTTTTTCAAAGATGGGTAGATTTTTTTCTTGCGGCGCACAGTGTATTTTTTACGAGGGAATGGTCTGAACTTCCCCCGGCGTTTGAGAAAATGACTAGTACAGGTGGATAGAGCAGGTCAACTTTGGTAAAAAGAACGATTTTCCAGCTGCGGAATAAGCCCGGCCGACGAGAAAAATCGACCGAAAGTTCCACAAAAATTTCCTCTTTCTCTTCCCTCGGAAA